TAGCAGGTTGTCAAGAAGCAGACTAACTGAGTAGACGAGGCATTTTGACATACAATGCTTTTAAATGCAGATACCCAGTCCACAATGAGCACAAGTCCAAAATAAAGTGACGAATGCAAAATGGTCAAAAGATGTGACAGCCGAATGTGCGAAAAACTCGGCAAAAAAGGGCAAGCAATGTCATATGACTGTTGGTAGGAAATACGCTTAAGTGCAAAAAAACAGGAAATGCATGCATAAGAGAAGCCTGGCTGCCAAATTTATATTAAATCCTGATTCATACATGTACATAGAAGGATCAAACAGTTAAGCGTGCATACATAGATATGCATGCGCGAATGAAAGAGTTAAGGATAACGGGTGACATGATACGTTAATATGAGAGGAATATTAGCGAAAGATAATGAAGCCAATTGTAACTAAGTTGTCTGTAATTATAATGGTGTTGGTACTAAAAATGGTGAAACCAGCAGTGATGGAATAAAAGATAATAAAAGTAGTAGTCGTCACATAACTGGGGTTTTGGTGACAAAATCGTCATCAGCGAAGCTCATGTCGATGTCATATCTGTGACAGAGAAAAATTAGACGAGCGATGTAATAGCAAAAGGAAGATTCCAGCTGTCGAGACATTAGGGATGCTATAAAATGCCATCAGACTCGTTTCAATGAAAAAGGGTGTGAGAATGGTCTCATATTAGTCATCATCAAGCGAATATTCGACGACACTAAATGAATGCGTCAACAGCAATAACAAAAACCACACCGAATTCAAACAGGCACAGAAAGGATAGTCAGATAGTTGGTGGTCATGTGTTATTTAAGAGTACAAATATTATAAAACACCATACTATAAGGTCATATGCACAGTGTAGGTGGAAGGCAAAATGTAATTAGGTTGGGTCTATACCATAGATGGCAACAATCTAATTAAACATTAAATGTCGGTGAGGCTGCTGCTGACTGAAAAAAGCATGACCTATTGCAGCCTAAAATACGTGTGTTAATCTAATCATCAAGAAGAATGAGAGGGAATTGAGTATTTTTTATTTACATGTTGCAAAGGCCTTAAAAGTAAACCCTGTGATCAAGAGTGAAATTCAGGAAAGGGGTTAGCCTATAAATTATAGATTAGACATAGTCATGAAATACATGGTAAAATACTCGCCATAAGTAGAATAGGTCAAATGTATACAGCCAAGTTAGCACATCCCAGGTGTCGATACATAGCTGATTGTGCAGGCCTATATGAGTTTGGTAGTTACGAGACCTGGGGCACGCAAGAGAAGTGGCCGTAACGACTTTAAACAGTCAAGCAGAAAAGCACATTGACATGTTGGCCTTTGGATACGATTGCCTGCGCGCACAGCTTTTACAACCACACGAGTCACGGAAAAAAGGTAGAGGTGGACGGATGAAAGTGGATGCAGGCCTAGTTGCATGCAGGCAATCGGATATAGTGTATGCGAAAGAATGCGAGGTGAGGGTAGTAAGCAGAGGCTTTGTGTAGACGCCAGTGACTACACAAATTGGTTTAGCATAAAAAGAACATAACTACCAGCAAATGTTAAAAGAGGAGATGTCCAAAAGCACTCAGCCTTGTTCGGCTGAGTTGATAGGATAATTAGTATTTTAAGAATGAGGCGATGCCAGATTTATAGAGAACTAGATACCGACAAAGTAATGAAATAAGGAGAAGAGTAATTAGGTAAGAAAGAACAGAGAGAGGCAAATTGTGAAGACAGGCGAGGAAATAGGGAAAACACGAAGAGCTTATCGTTCATAATAGTTCATTGATGCCTGATAAGGAGACCGAGAAACAGAAGGAACAAAGAACAAAGTATATGCGGCTTCTCAGCTAGCCAGATGGCGGGTGATTGCGGGCTCCGTCCGGTGGGCGGCACAAAAACTAAGTACTCTTGGACAAGGTAGTTCTGATCTAGCGGAGCTGGTACCCAGATCTCTGGAGGTAATGGGGGTGCAGTAGGAGGAGGGGGATAGCGGGGCCCAGCAGGACTCCTTCCAATAGAAGTTGGCGATTTCATGGGCACTGAAACGACTGGAGGGGCAACCGGTTGTATTGGATGAGGCATAGGAATGGAAGGTCGAGAGGGCAATGGTGCCGGAGCATGTGGATCATGGGCCACGTCTGGGGGTGGAATAAACCCACTGCTTTGGGGACCTTGACCTGAGAAAAAAGAATAAGAGGAGAAATGTTCATAAAAATGAATTTCTATCCTGAAATTAATTAGGTAACGTATTAATTAATGAAATCAAGAGACTGATAATTTGCATGATATAAAAAGATTATTTACAGAAATCGGAAATATAATTAATGAAGAACTTTATATCCAGAAAAAGCAATGGAAATGGCTTCATTGTTCATCTAATCCTTATGTGCATATATGCATATATAGACATAGATGCAGAGTGCTGGATAGTGCCGGGTGAAGGATGAGCAAACAAAAACCCAAGAGGGACACTCCACAGCTAGAGGCGCTAAGCCATAAACCTGTGGGTGGAGACAAGAGTTTCGCAGCGAAAGTGCTATTTGATCAGAAAAGGAATATAAGTGGAATTCAATGCGAATCATTCATCGCTAAGGGGCTAGTTGACAAAGTAAGGGCAAATATTTATCATTAAAATCGTTCGACCGACTATCTGGAGCGTGGTATATCAAAACACGAGTCGAGCTAGAATGTAAAAGTAAGATAGGGCCACAATATCATAAATATATATCAAATATACACACAAAGAATAATAATAAGTAGAATATAATAAGCCCGGTTATGAAAGATGAAAACTTGAGGGCGAAAATGTTAAAAGCATAGCTGTTTGATCGGCCGAGGACGCAGCATCTGCAGTGATCAGATAAATGGAATAAAAGAAAAAGTATCGACTATCCAGAGTAAGAGATATTAGCAAAGAAAAACGTTAAGTCCGGTAGAGTCTAAAGAGGTTTCAGCAGAATTCGCTTAGTAGATTACTAACTAGATTACGAAATCAGGATACTCTTTATAGACCCAACAATGAGTGCCTGAGACAGAAGGGTAAAAAATGAAATTCTTATGGAAGAAATTACAAGAGCATGAATTTATTTACGCTTCAAAAGGATAAGTTTAATTAGAAGAGACATTCAATATTCACTTAAATCAGCAGGAAACCAGTACAGTTGACCATTAAAGTGTGGAATGATAAATGGTAGTATACTGGCTAAAGTAGACGGACCATCTATAAGAAAATTATGGAGTAAGGTGGCTTGCAGTTACATTCATATTGCAGACTGCTAACTTGACACTCCTACAGAGATAATTTAATAAAAGGTGTGAAGACCAAGATGGTGTGGTCTTATGTGTGGTCGCAGTCTCCTTTCGTTGTATATAAGTTGTTTGACATGTATTTCATTTTAATTTAATTTAATAAAGATCTCATCTGTAAGTTGATCTAAGAAAGATTAATGTTTTTAGACGCCTATTTAATCAAACGTAGATTAGGACTTTCGAATTAAGATGGATTCAGCCAACAATATATCTCCCCAATGTTTTCATGGATGCAATACATAATCTAACCAGTCACAATTAGGAAGTAACTCGAGTATTGATGATAGTGGCTGGAAGAACGTAATTTAGGAAAGATGTAGCCCTTGGATAAGTCGACAGCGTAATTAAGCAATCTAAAAGACATCTATATACTCAGCCTGTTAATAGTAAATAATAAAAACATGATAAATCCCAAATTGTATAATATCTGCATGCATGCTTAACTATAGTAGTGATCGGATATGCTGCTTAAAGCTCTATGGTTAAGCAAGGAAACTGTAGCTTGCCAAAGGAAGATTAAGCACTGACAAAGATGACGGTCTTTTTTGTCGCAATCTCCTTTAGATGCATAGAACTGGCTTGACCTTGTTTGCGCAACTTGATCTGAACGCCAGAGAGACCTTGCGGAATTTTGATAAGTTGTAACTCCGTGCTAAGGGTGGCGCCTCTCATTGACGAAGCCAACAAAA